TTTTTTAAAGTTATCAAATATTTACAAAACATTTGCCATATTATAAATTTTTGGATATAATTGATTCAACATTTCTATTCATCGATAAATTACATAATTTTATAATTAAAAATAACTATACTTATTTGTTAAATATAAATATATTAAATAAATTATAATAGAAACATAAACAACTTTAAAATATATAATCATATATTTATTAGTGGATAATTTTTTCTAAATATATATTATATTAGATATAATATGTATTTTTATTTTTAATTTAATCTGAACATAAAGAGTCGATCCACGATTTTTTTTTGTTAAAAGATAAATTTAGATTGATTTTCAATTTTTGAATTAATTTTCTTTTAGTTTTCAAATTTTCGACAGACATACGTATATTTTAAAGACCCATTATATGAAAATAGTGGATTCTAATTTTAATCGAACTACTCCACACCAAACTAAAACCTTTGACAAGATTGTTGTAATAGAAAGATGTGTTAGTTAAGGTAGTTGAAGGTACTCTCCCGCGTGTTCAAATCTACCTATTTTCCTTTCCTCTCAATCATGTTGAATCATCACAACTTTTAAACAGACTATGACAACTCAGTATTCTCCTTGCAGCCTTCTTGTTCTTGCTTGCTTACATCAGCCAATGTTCCATCCAACTACCTGCTAACAGAGTTCTTTATTGCCTTCCATGAAAGTATTTGTTCCATTTCAATTGCAACTAAGAATAGTTTGCTCAAATTTTGATGACCTTTTCATATTTTCTTAGCCTAAGGAAATTATTTCATATCTAACTTCTAAGATTTTTTTTTAATTGCATACGTTTGTTTGTTAGTTTTTTTTTTCTTTCATAAACTTAGATATAAAAATAAATTATAATATATATATATATATATATGAATATAAATTTTATTTTATTATTTGATTTTTTAAGGATATTTGATTTGATTTGATTTTATAATATATATATATATATATATATATATATATATATATATATATATATATATATATATATATATGAATATAACCTTTTCATATTTTATACTAGTTCTTTACCAGACTTAGACTTAGAGTCCTAAAAATTAAATGATAATCAAATTTCACTTCTCTCCTCAACAATATAAATACTGTAAGGTTTTAATACAATAGTCCATCAATGATGATTAAAGTTTTGTCACATATTTCAACTTATAACCTATTGACAATAAATGATTAGTGATGGCAAAACGGGCAGGCCGGCGGGCCAGCCCGCCAGCCCCCCATAATATGGCGAGGCGGGTTGGTGTTTTTAGCCCACCAACCCGCTTTGGCCCACCCCACCAAGCCCGCCAACCCACCGGCCAACCCGTGAGGACGGGACGAGCCGACCGCGACCCGCCTACTTAATAAAAAAATAATTTTTTATTGTAATAAAAATTAATTATAAAGATAATATATAAAGTTAAAAATTTTAAAAAGAGATTTAAAAAAGTTTCACTCTCACATAAATTATTATCCTTACTTGAAACACAACATTATCTCCTGTTCTCCTTGTTCATCTTAAACACTGATTACTTTTATTCTTATGACTTGAATTAAATGTGTAAGAATTACTCAACCAAGAATAATGTGAAGTTTTATCAAATAAAAAAGATATAGGTATTTGAATTTTTCAATATAAAAAATATAAATTTTATAAGTTTTAACGTTATATATATATATATATATATTTGTTATTATTTATTATTATGTAAAATTTATTATTGTTCTAAATTATAATTTCTTAAAATAATATATTGATTTATATTATTAAATTGAAATAATATATATATATATATATATATATATATTAAATTATTGACAAACAAATAATAATCTTATTATTAAATTTATTAAAAAAAATTATTTTAAAAAATAAATTATTTTTTCTAAATTATAGCGGCCAGCCTCACTAGCTCGTCCCTTGGCGGAGCGGACCAAGGTCTACGACTCGTCATGACTATATCGGGTCAGCCCGTCCCGCTTTGCTTTTGGCGGGCCAAAGGCAGGACGGGCCAAAATAGGGCGGCCTTGCCCGTTTTGCCATCCCTATAAATGATTGATGCTTTAGTTATTCAAGCTCCACCAGATAATTGAGACAAACAATGTGAGGCTATACACATTAACCAAATTAGTTTTATTTTCTCATGTCCCAAGTAATCTTCATCCTCGTTAGATAATTATTGTTGTTTTCTTCACTTTTATATTTATCTATAAATAATGTCATTCATCTTGTTGTCAATTTACGACAACAAGTTCTTGCAACTTGCTCTAGCATAATAAAGTTTAGAGATTCTTTTCACTTAATTAATGTTCGTTATATACTTGTATTTGCCTTCAATTTAATTTCCATTTTGAAATTGTACTACTAGAAATTTTTATTTTTCATTTTATTTTTCAATTTTTTTTGTAAAAATTAGCAGGAAATAAATTTCTTAAAAATTTTCATATCAACTTTAATTAGTATGTAATTTGTTCGTGGATAATATACTATCTAGAGATTTAATATTTGCAAGAAATCTCCTACAAAATTTTATGCCAAAAATTTGCAGGTAATTTTTTACAAATTTAAAATCACATGCAATTTTTTGCAACTTCTTACAAATTTAAATCCGTAAGTAATTTATTGTGAATTTTATAGTAGTGGGTAATTTCCTACTAATCTTAAATTTGCAGTTAATTTCTTATAAAATTATTATTTTTACTGTATTTAATTTAATTAAATAATCAAATGATTGTAAGAAAAGTTTTACTTGTTTATTTAACTAAAATAAGCTAAGTTGAAAAACAAAAATTAACATGATTTTTATTTAATTTTACAACAATATAATCATTGTGGATTTCAAGCCAAAACATGAGCAGATCAAAATGTGCAATACACCAATAATTAGAAATTAGGTAGGTAATAAACATGTTAAGAAAATCCACATGAATGATCCAAATACAACCACCTCTATTCTCAAAGAGAATTATTGAAGCTAACAATTGACTTTGATCTTTAGAGAAACCGAAAGAAAATATTTCACTCCTGCAACAATAATAATTTCACTATGTAAATATATTTAGATATAAGAATAAAGTCATGTTGAAGAATAAGTTCTTGATGAAGATATAAAAGCATTACATCATATACAAAAGAGAAATTAAATTCAAATTGGAAAAAGAAAATACAATCTTCAACAATTTTGGGATCTAGCTTTTTGATGCATCTCTATTGCTTCAAAGCTCTAACACAATCATGAACCTTGATTGAACCTTAATCATGAACCTTGATTGAACCTTTATAAAGAAAGAAGGAAAAACATAATAGATTCCAAAAGGCTAAGTAAATAATCTTACATCAGCCAAAACTGATAATCAGATTATGCTTCAATCAATCATGGACACCGAAATTCAACCTAAATACAAACATGACATCATCTACCAACACATTTTCTATAACATTATTTCTAATTTGGCAAAGTCATTTATCAACAATCATTAAACACATTTTCTATAACATTATTTATAATATGCCGAAGTCATTTATCAATAATCATTATCCTAATCTTTCTAACTAGTAAGACTTCTCCTCTAATTCTCCCCACAGGTCTTCCTACTAGAACATATACTCAAAATCAAAAGGTGGATAAGAAAGGAGGTAAAAGGAAATGGTCTCAACACTGTAAATGTCTACAATGAAATTTACACACAAAAAACTGACAACCTAAAAATCTCCAACCTTTTGGAACAAGTTTCACCATTTGAACTAATATTATTGAACTGGACATGAAATTTTTCCAATGAGCACCACCAATATAGGTCCCATTCATACTGTTGGATTCATGATAGAAATAAATTTAAGGGTATGATTCTAATACAATTAAAAATATATGTTGTTAATGAATAAATAAAAATGAGAAAATTAGTAACTATTATTCATGAAAAAAATAAATTCAGCTATTAATATAATGGAACAAAAAACAACAACATCTAATAGTTGAATAAGCTTATACTTCCACCAAGGTGGTCTTTCTCCTCGTACATTAGAAAGGATAATAATCTTATTCTATGTAAACTTGATAACATATGTTCTATAATTCTTGGAAATGATCCTAATTGCCTTTCCATTGATTTTCTAGAAATTGTAGTTGAGAAGGCTTTCAACCAAATAGAACAGTTTATATTCTACAGAGATGCAATGCCAAAGATGTTTGGAAGATCTAAAGAAATGACGTCAAATTGGTCAAGAGAAGAAGTTGAGGGAACCATGCAAGAGATCTAAAAAACTAGGAGACAAAACAGGATAAACAACTTATCTAATAATTTAAATTTCTTTAACTTATTCAAGATTTATGGTGTTTGTTGCTCCCAAAATAAATAGGACTCAAATAAGTGTCCTAAATGTGTTGAGCTATCATTTTATGAGATTGCTAAAAAATCAAGATATAAAACTCCTAGAAAACAACATCATTGTAACCCAAATTGTGAGAGATACATAGTAGAAACTCACCAAACTCACTCTAGATGTCTAGTTTACACTAACATGATACTTGCACCCAATAATTATACTTTTTCCGCTAGCTTTTCTAAACTAAAAAATTGCATAAGTGTGAAATTATATATGAAATTAATAAATACTGGTTTCAGGCCCAACACAACATAACAAAAGATCTTAATGGTAGGCCATGGGTGCAATTGTTTGGTAAAATAGTTACTACCTAGATAACTAAATTATTTTAGCATTTTCTAATAATGATTAATGATCATGGAAGATCCCATTAAAATGCCTAATTGTACCAACATCATCTCCTTATCTCTAGTATTTTTATAGCTTATAATTAATCAGTGTCAGGACAAGTTAGAACAGAGACTTAAACACATATATCAGACAAGGAATTCCAAATACAACAACTTAGTTTTATCAATCACAATATATATATATATATAAGTAATAGGAAAGAGCAACAGTGATGCAAACGGTGAGAGATATAGATGAATCTTTCTCATCCTATCTCAGACCCAATAACAAGGAAACAATCACTACAACACCTGTTGAAGACGCCACCACTAAGCTTAGCATATTCGATGCTCACAGATACTTCAACAATGATACTAGTAGTAATAACAACAATAATAACATTTAACAATGTTGATATATAATATACAATAAGATTTATTTACAAAAAAAAAATGAAGTCGAAATATAAATAAGGCTACGATAATGAAGTTGATATTCTTTGGTTCATACAGATCAGCAAAATCATGAGAAAAAGGGGAAGTAACCATAGTTTTGCATCACCAGAATTATCTATGTTTCAGTTGCGCGATAAACATCACCCGTAATTAGTTATTCCTTGACTTACCACATTTAGAAAATAGTGTTATAGAATAATGATTGAATGTAGTAATTTTAAACTAAAACCCTAATCCCTATACACACAAATTCTCTTCATCACCGATATTTGTACACTTTTGAACCCTTATAAACCACTCCCCACATATCTCCTTGTTAAGATTCAAGAGACGAGAAAATCAATTTTATGATTAATTTCCTATTTTATTCATCATTAATTTCACATTTAGCAAAGTGGAAATGCGAAAATGGAAATAGAAGGAAAGAACCTGTGGTTAAGGTCATCATCGGCGGGGCCCGACGTTGACGCTGAAACAGATCACAACAAATCACTCACTCATGATGGAGACGATGAAAACAACTGGACCTCACTTGCGGTGGAGACAATGGAGTCGACAGAAGAAACAAGAGCTTGCTCGTGGTAGAGACGATGGAGGCAACAAGAGCTCGCCTTGCGACAGAGATGACAGAAGCAACAGAAGGTCGCTCGCGGTGGAGATGACAAAACAACAGAGATAATGGAAGCAATAGCTCACTTACACACTTGCCGCAGAGACAACAGTCGGACATCAAAGAGAAAAGAGAACCATGTTGCGAAGAAAGAGGCAGGCATGGCATCGGGCCGGGCAGGGGCCGGTTTTGCCTCCCCCATTCCCCCCTCCAGACTTTTTTTAATCATCTCCATTTGCGGGATAGAAACTAAGTCTCGTGTCCCGATGAGTTTCGGGTTTTTCATCACAGATATATTCTTCATCAATATTATTTTTAATAAAATAATTACATTTATAATAAATTAATTTTATTATCTATTTTTTTTATAAATAAATATTTATAATTTATAATAATTATTAATTAAATATACATTTTAATTTATTATATTTATATTAAAATATATATATATATATATAAAATAAATATTTAATATTTTTTATTTATAACATTATTATTATTATAATACCGTATTCAAATATTTGAATACTTATAACATTATCATTATTATTATAATATTGTATTCAAACATTTGATTATATATATAAGTTAATTTATTTTTAAGTTGTCATTTAAAAACATGAAATATATAGTTTATAATAAAATATTTAATAAGTTAATTATTATTCAATTAGTTCAAACTAATAAAAGTTTAAATTATTAATTCCTTTAATTCTTTAAAATACAATTATTTTATTAAGATAAAATTTGATATATGATAAATAAGAATAATAAGATAAACAAATGACATAATAAAACCTAATAAATATAAATTATAAATAAAATAATATTAGTTACTTGTTAAGATTTATGTAAAATATTTAGAAAAAGATAAAGAATAAAAGAATTAACTGTGTTTATCAAATTGATTGAAAATATTGAAAAAAAAAACAAATTGATGAGAGAGATTAAGGAAATATGAAAAACTGCAAGGTATAAGAGAGAATAATATAATAAATTAATTGATATAAAAGATTAAAAAAGACAAAAAAATTAAAAAATAGGTATAAGAAAAATAAAAATTGGTAAAATATAAAAAAATGACCTTATATGTAACAGAAAAAGAAAAGAAAATAATTTTAAAATATTAATATTTTAAAATTTAAATATAAAGTCGCCGCAGGGACGGGCCGGGGTCGGGGTGGGGATTGCATTACCCATCCCGCCCCGTCCCCGACTTTTTAAAGCGGGAAAACCCGAACCCGCCCCGCCCCGGTCAACTCGGGTTTTCCCGTCAAACTCCGGCGAGGCGGGTCTGTCCTCACGGGGATGGGTTTAATTGTCATCCCTAGGCAAGAGGCCACGAGTAAGGGATAAAGAAAGCACTATGAAGGAAATTATTAAATTTGAATTTTAGTGATGACAAACGTACCAAAATATGATTTAATTTTAAACTAATTTTTATTGAAATAAAAATATAAATAATTAAATATGATCTAATTATTTTATTATGTTTAAAATATTATAATATAATTTTTAAAAAAATAATTATAATATACTTAATAAAATAATTTTATGTATATTTCTATAATTTTATACTTAAATTTAGCAAAACAAACTCATATGTCATTTTAATTGAATTATTATTTAACTACTTAATAAAACAATATTTTATTAAATAAACTGTTTTAATTATTTAAAAAATAATAAATTTAAATATTTTTTATTGTATTGCAAAAAATAATCTGTAAAATCCATAAAAATCATATTTTTGCAAATTTTTCTATCATTTATTTAAATATTATTAAACATTTACCATAAATATATATTCATAAAAAAATTTACAATAAATATATTTAAATTCCTGTTAATTTTCTTTTAAATTCTTATTTGCAAAAACAAAATTTGTAGAAATTTATTATGAATAATTTTTGAAATAAAAATTCCAACTATTTTTGATAAAAAAAATTTCAAGAAAATTGTCAACTAATTTTTGTGAATAATTTTTCGTTGAAAAACTTGAAAGTATTTTATGTGAATAGTTAAAAAAGAAGTAAGAAATAAGTGAATTTCTAGTAGTGTTGGTTTGTTCTCTTCATTTTCTACTTACTTTTTCCTCCACACCATGTATTATGCAAGATATGAAAATTGACGAGGAGATTTGTACAATTTATGTGAATCTTAGACTCAACACTCTTGTTTAACCACCCTTATTCTTATCCTTTTTGTTACTGTTTTTTTGTTAATTCTCAATGTAATGCTTAATCCATATATTTTTGGGTTTTTGCATGTATTATTTGTCATGTGAAAGATTAAATTATATGAAATAATATTATCATGTTTGTAAAGTAATAAACATGTGTAACACTTGTGATCATCCATGTTTTACATAGTTTTTCTAATGATCACTAAAGGTGAAACTCATTACCCTATTATCAATTTCATCATATATAATATTGAAAATTGTTAGTCGATTAAGTTAAAGTTTAAAAGTCTTACCATTTGTTATGTTATTAAAACAAAAGAATTCTATATTGTCTTGTATAAATACACTTATTCTAGAAAATGAATAAATGAGAGAGGAGGTATTACATAACACTAAATATCTTTTATTTCTCGTTTTTTTCTCTTAAAGTTCCAACAAGTGATATCTGAAGCCTATAAGTTATCTAGGGTCAAGTTTTATCATGTCCAAGGTGTGTATATTGCTATGTGGGCCTAACTTGGTTGTTTTTGCCATGCTATGCGTGAATGGACAAATTGATTGAAACAGGGGAGAGGATTCTTACAGCAAAGGTGGTTGAGATATTTGATGTGTGAAGTGAAAATTGAGAAAAACAAGAATTGTTGTGAAAGATCAAGGTTCAAGATTCAAGAAACAACGACAGAGTGATAATTATATTCCATCGATGAATCTACCCATTTTTTTAAGAAGAGTTGGGATCGATGGAGTACATAGAAGTGAATGATGTTGAAAATGGGTGATCGGATGGTATAAGTGCGACGAAGGTGCAAAAGGCTACAATCCAAAAGAAAGATAACAAAACATTGTTTCTACTCCATCAATACGTGGATGATGTACATTTTGAGATGATACATAATACAAATTCTTCTAAGGAAGCATGAGACATACTTACTAAAAGTCATGTAGGTAGAGATAAAATAAAGAAGGTGAAACTTCAGACCTTGACATGTAACATCCTAAATTTTTCAACTAATTATATAAATAAATTTTGTAAGTTATAAATATGTACTGAATATTATATAAAGTTGTTATAAAAATAAAACATGATTTTTGAAAATTTTAAAATAAAGTCCAAGGTTAATATTATGATAAATAATAATTTATTATAATTCTTAATAATTAAATTAAATAAATGAATAAATAAACATTTAGGAATTTAATACTATAAGTAAAAAAAGAATCACGAAAAGAGAGAAATAGAAGTCGAGAACCGTAGTTTTGGATCAAGTCGGTGGAACCTTTGAATTGAGTCGGTGAAATAAAGCGGTGCAGAATAAAATTAAAGAAAATTTGAGAAGGAATATAAGTCGGTAAGATAAGTGTATAAATAGGAGGAAATTTGAAACTTACTTACACCAAAACACAATTCCCGCAACTTGAAGAACTAATAGAGAGGCACCAGAATTCTGAGAAGAAGAATTCGAGAGTAATGAGGAAAGAGGAGCAAAAGAAATTAGGAGAGTAATAAGATTTTGGAGAAATCACGTATGGGGTAGATGTTTAATTTTATCAAAATGTCTGAATTTGATGGTTGATTCACTAATTGAAAGTTTGAAATGTTTGTTGAAATTCTTCAAATTAAGGATGAATTATATAATAAAATTGTTGTTTTTAACTTAAATTGAACATGTTTATAGTTTAATTTTGATTTGGAACTAATTTGGATGATTGAAACTGAGAAATTTGAAATCTGGATTTTGAAAATGGCGTACTTGGAGGTGATTACTATTCATATTTTGCAAAGTTTTAAATATTGATGAAATTCTTGAAATTAATGATGAATTATATAGTAAAATTGTTGTTTTTGACTTAATTTGGACATATTGCATGTTTAATTTTGATTTAGAACTAATTTGGGTGCTTTAAAATGAGAAATTGGAAATCTGGATTTTGAAAATGGCTTACAGGAGCGAAGGAAGAAAGAAAGGGTCTAGGTGGGAATTTTGAAAAAGATCAAGGGTAAAATAGTCATTACACATCTTAAGGATATAAATGGAATTTTGAAAAAGATTAAGGGTATAATGGTCATTTCATCATGGCTCTAGGACATGAATGGAATTATAGAAAATGTCAAAGGGTAAAATAGTCATTTTAGGGACATGAATGGAATTATAGAAAATGTCCAAGGGTAAAATAGTCATTTTAGGATATGGATGGTATTATAGAAAATGTCCAAGGGTAAAATATTTCTTTTAGGGACATGAATGGAATTATTGAAAATGTCCAAGGGTAAAATGGTTATTTTACAACCTAGGGACATAAATGAAATTTTGAAAAAGGTTAAGGGTATAATCAAGATAGAACCAAATAGTATATTACCCCCTCTTTGTTTACTAGGAAAACAACTTATTAAACATTTGAATTTGAGGATATTGCCTTCATCAAAATTATAGGTTATTATTTTGTCTTTCCAACACAATTGGAATCATCTTAAAAGGAGGTCTAGAACTCGAGATATGGACAAAACATTGAACCCTATGAAATAGAGTATTAATAGAAATTATTTTGTTTGAAACAACTATGAATTTCAATTGAAATTTTGAATATATGAATGAGATGTTTCTAAGTACTTAATTGATGATAGACTGTTTCATTTCATACAAGGCATAAACATATTGCATGAAATGTTTTCTGGAACTCACAGAAAAGTATTTACAAATTTCTCTTAAGTTGCTACCAAGGACGGTTGGTAGTAATAATGATATGCAAAACAAAATTTTGAAAATATTTCTGTTAGTCAATTTACTATCAAGAACATCTGGTAGTGGAATATGACTATGAAAATGGTCGGCCAAATGAGACAGAGAATGTATGAGAATGAATTATTGAGAATCGAGCTACTAGAATCTCTGATAGTAAATGGGGGAGTATAATAGGTAAGACAGGACCTCTAGTC